CATTAGTGCGCGAGAGATATTTAAAACACATTTTTTGTTCTTGTCTTGTGGAAGCCTGACAGTTAACAGACGTGACGAATGTTTGTACACTTCTCACTTTGTTATTTACATGTCTAGATAAAGAAGCGCGGATCAACCGATGAGTCGGACTGTCGTTGCCTGGAAACAAGGTGATAAGGTTATGACGTCATCTGGGGTGCCTCAACATAATGCAAATCTCTACAAGGCACCCCAGATGCGTCATCAAGTTATCCATCACTAGACAGGGACTTTATTCTCGAAACAGGGGAGCAGCGTGTCTTCGTCGTCCGTATTCATATCTCCATAACACTGACAATGACAGAGAAATCGTTCTCATGAGAACGCTGTTCCTCCGTTTCAAGAATAAAGTCCCTGCTGAGTGGCTGAGCTCAGCCGGTGGCACCGCGTGAATGTACCGATTATTTTGTTATATTTTGATAGTGGTTGATCTCGGAAAATAACAACAATGTCATTAGAATCCAAACGTCATGAAATACGACAAGCAGATTTTTTTTCCCAGAAGCTTCAACTGAATCCAATCCTGTCCTCCGCGCATGCGAGCTGTGCGCATGCCCCTGTTGTCTGGCAAAGGCTTATCGACCGTGTTATTGGTGTCGAGTTTAATTACGTTCTTATTCACTTGGATGATGTGATTATCTGCACGACTACTTTTGAGTATCACCTGAGAATTGTGCGTGAGGTAATCAATCGTCTCGTTCAGGCTGGTTTAACTCTTAATACGGAGAAATGCGTGTTTTGTAAGGATGAGTTAAAGTTTCTGAGAAACATGGTCAACTCTTCGGGAGTTTTGGTGGACCCTGACAAAATCAAGGCAATACTTGACATGCCTTCTCCCAAGACCGTCAGCGAGGTAAGGCATATCATTAGTCTTGTATCTTGGTACAGAAGATTTGTGCCTAATTTTTCTTCCGTTATTTCCCCTATCACCGCGTTAACCAGAAAGAACGTTAAGTTTTTATGGGACCAAAATTGTGGAAATGCTTTCGAAACCATTAAGGAATATCTTGTGAATGCACCTGTGCTTTCCTGTCCTAATTTTGACACACCGTTTACGATACAATGCGACGCATCTGATTTCGGCAGACGTCATATGTTACCTCAGTCGATCTCTAAATCAGAATGAACAAGTATACGACCACCGAAAAGGTGTGTTTGGCAGTGTTATTTGCGATTGAGAAATTACGGCCTTACATTGAGGGTACCAAATTCACTATAATCACTGACCACTATAATAGGTTGAAATGGCTTAATTCAATTAAAGACCCGGTTGGACGTATTCCTCGTGGGGCTGTACGGCTCCAGCAATACGATTTTGAAGTGGTTCACCGGAAAGGAAAAGAAAACGTTGTTCCTGATATTTTGTCCAGATCGGTTCCAGTAATAGAGGCTATAACGAATAACGGGTCCCAATTTCGTAGAAAGATTTTTCAGGATGTACTTTAGGATTATGGCATAGAGATCCGGTACACAGCCAACTATCATCCCCAGGCTAACCCTGTGGAGAGAGTTCATAGCGTGCTTAAAACTATCCTTTCCAGTTATGTGGAAAATGATCATTGGCACTGGGAAAAATTTCTGGCGAAAGCTGAGTGCGCCATCCGGTCAGCAACACATCAAGTCACTTACTTGACTCCCAATGTTGTTGTGTTTGGACGTGAAGTAAGGTTGCCACACGATGAATCCGAGTTGCCGGCTCAGGATGATTCGCAAGAATTTGACCCACATGAAAGATCCCGCCAGCTGTGTAAGGTATTTTCTGATATCGGGAAGAAGTTCATTCGAGCATATAAAAAATCAAGTCATACTGACAATCTTAGAAGGCGTAATGCTCGATTCCTTCTCCATCAAAAGGTCTGGAAACGGAATTACCAATTGTCAGATGCTTCGAAGAATTTTACGGCGAAACTGGCGCAGAAATTTTTAGAGCCCCATACCATCTCTAAAGTAATCTCACCGTGGACGTATGAGCTGATTGAGACCAACGGTCGTAATCTCGGTATCTGGAATGCTAAAGATCTGAAGGCTCATCCTCCCGAGACATCCATTTAGGCATGAGAACTAATTTTCTCGGACTTGGCTTATAATGTTGTGGGTCAATAAAATGTCTAGTATCAGGGATCCATCTCAGTAATTAGTTGTACTCTCATAACTAAGTAGGTCGTGAGAAGCTTACAAAATTTCCTTGAAAATTTTTTTAAGGACTGTAAGTGTTATTACGTGTTATTTATTTTGAAAATTGAATATCTATCGCTATCTCAGGAAAATAATAATAATGATTCAAAATTGGAAATCAAGCAATTACTGAATATTTTTGACTATGCATATTAACCCTGGAGTACACGCGTGTCGGTCAAAAAAACCGACCATCGATAAAATCAGTAATAACGCAACTGATACAAGGGTGGCAGTTTTGTCCATCCAAGAATGCCTGATGCAGGTTTTCTACTACTCATTGGCCCAAAAAATATTTTGGTTTTTTGTTGAAGTTTTTGCAAGTATCGCATTCAAAAGGATAGATATCCAAATATGCTAGTTTGTGATTCTTCAAAACGCCTTTTCGTTTAAATTTTGCTTTGCAAGTGTCACATTCAAAAAGAGAAATATCTGAGTGTTTCACTTGATGACTCTTCAATTCGAGTTTTCGTTTAAATTTGGCTTTGCTAGTGTCACATTCAAAAGGCTAAATATCCAAATGTGTTAGTTTGTGATTCTTCAATTCGGCTTCTCGTTTAAATTTTGCTTTGCATGTGTCACATTCCAAAGGAAAAATATGCCAGTGTATCAGTTGGTGATTCTTCAAGTCGAATTTTCATTTAAATTTTGCTTTGCAAGTGTTACATTTAAAAGAATAAATATCCGAATGTGTCAGTTTGTGACTTTTCAATTCGCCAGTTGTTTTCATAGTCAGTGCTTCAGGCGCGTGAACCTGAGTATCTAAAATAAATATTTGTGTTCAAATAGTATATAACATTACGAAGTGACAAATTTCACACGAGTGTATAAAATTATAAAAGACGCTTTCTCACAAGTGATGTGCATCATTTTTCCTACGACCAGAAACCGATTTACACCAATTTTCTCTTATTTTATTTCTTTTAATTTTCTACACGTGTGCTGAAAGTACTTTTAACGCTGCTATTGAAAGTACTTTCAGCACGCGTGTGATATTTAGCGTTTTCCAAAGATCCAGCTAGTGTGGATTTTGTCATTTTCGTAGGTGGTCGTACGAAAAGTATTATCCGTTGACGGTCGCGAATCCAGAAGTTAGAGAGAAAAATTAAAATGGTTAATTAACATTATGTGCTTAGATTTATTGTATTAAAATAATTTAGTGAAAGTGAGGGAAAAATTGTAGATACATCTAGGAATTTGAGATATGTAAAGATCTATTGCGATAACTCCGATGCAAAGTGACTATGGAACATGATTGCAATTTTTCTTGTGTCAAGTACTTGATTTTTGCTTACAAAAGCGTTTCGGAAAATTTACTGAATTCTAAGTTGGAAGAAGCATTATCTGTTTCCTGGATTTTTCGAGAATATGGGCTTGATGTCACCACTAAAGGTTATTTTCCCAAATTATATTCATAATACCTACCTAGTTTGAAATAATAATTGGTATTTTATTTTCATCAAAAAAATAACACCTTCTATAATGTACTTGTTATATAAACTATTACTTTGCCCAAATACCTTCTCCCAGAGAACCTAAACACTAAACCGCATAATACAATTAAATCTCAACAAACAAGCAAATAGTTCGCAACAGTCGGAATGAAACCTAACAATGTTTTACGAATAATAAATTCTCAAACATACACGTAAACTCTAGGAAAATGGGTTAGCGACTAAAGTATACTAGTAACTTGTAATTGGAAACTTCATAGTTGATGAATGTTATATTGGTGTTGAGTGTTGTCAAAAGCAAATTGCATACGAATGAAAAAAAAAAAGGTCAAGACTGATGGCTGCTACTCATTCTTCTGTGCTCGTGTAAGTTACTTTACCATTAGGTTGGTAGGCTGTTATTATAATGGCGAAACTTACATATAGATGGAAGTCAGTTTGTGAGTAATAATAATTATTAACTAATAATTATGGGCTGATTTTATCAAAATCAAGCACAAAATATCTTCCTTTTTACTAAAAACAAAGCCAGAATACATTATTGTCATTGTCTTTCAGTAATGAAAGCGTTAAAGATCGTATCTGAAAAAGATTTCACGTTCAAATTTGATTAGATTGTTTCTAAAATTGCATTTTCAAGTGGCAATACACGGAATGATAAAACAAAAATCATCAAAACATCTCTACTATATACCGTACAGCATTCGAGCTTTTGTTTCTACCTTGAATAACCGAATGTATGCAAGCATTTCTCTTTGCCCTTTTGTTAAAGTTTCCCTAACGTACGATTTTTAAATTCAAATTTACCGTGGCACGTAGAAGCAACACACGTCCATTTGGAAATAATATATTTTTGATGGTTTTTCTTATGCGAATAAAATAAAAATATAAGGGAGGTAGATTGAGGTTTCATGTTTGTTGTTGTTATAAAAGGAGAATTTGATTAAGGTTTTGATGTGTTAAAAGCAAAAATCTAATTTGTGCTTATTCAGAATGAATTTTGCTAAACTACCTACTCCTTTTGGTTGTGTTCTATTGGAATGCAATGTTTTTTATTTAATTGAATATTCAATTTTACAAAGCTGAAATATAGGACCCTCCTAATTGACTCCCTACATTCTATTTTATTGCTTTGCAGTTCACTTTTCTTCTCTTATTCCATTCCACTTTCTGCCAATTAGTTAATGAAAGACTTGGGATTCGTGACTGGGAGATTATCAATGTCTTTTTAAATTTGGTGCGCAACTTTACGAGTTCAAACTCTAATTAGCTGGAATTAGATCGTTTCAATTTGGGTCAAAATGGTGGGTCGATTCAATTTAAACTACTTATTTTCAAGTTTTATTACAATATTTATATTTAGTCTCTGTGCTCAGCTTTAATAAGAGCAGATACCTTTTCTGCAATCATGACAACAGGAGCGGCTGTATGACCAGAGATTGTAACTGGAAAAATACTAGCATCTGCAATTCTAAGTCCTCGAATTCCGTGAACTTTAAGTTCCGAATCGATAACAGAGTTACAGGGATCTGCACCCATTATTGCCGTACCTATGGGATGGTAACCCTAAAATTAAAAATGATGTAGATTTTATTTTCTGCTACATACCTATTACTTACAGGAAATGCAACCTGTTTTAACGCACAATACCACCACTTTTTAGAATCTATTTTGTATTTTTCGTCACATCCTGGCATTGCCACAAACAAGCGTTCTGCTTTGAAGTTTTTGAAAGCTTTGGTATTTTGTAGTTCTAATAACGATTTTATTGATTGATACATTGTTTCTAAATCTTTTTCAACGGAAAAACTATTAAGGTCTATTAAAGGATATTTTCGTGGATCATTTGATTGAAGTGTGACTTCTCCTTTTGATTCAGGATGTAATAAGTTAACACTTATTGCAAAATCAGTGTACTCGTTCAGGATTTGGTATGCAGCTGTATACTCTTCATTAAATCTAAAACGTTAATTGTATAATAGATTTATATTTACCAGGATGGGCCAAAAATTAGTTGCTTTTGGTGGTTTTTACTTCTTCTAGCTTAAAATCGGCATTTGTAATTAGGATTATTACTCACCTATTACTGGTTGCAATTGTACTGCTCACAAATCTTGGACCAATAACGAGGAGCTCAATATCTGGTCTACTATATGTATTATTTTTGAGGTTTGTAAAGCTAATAACTTGTGATCCCGCGCCAGAAGTCATTGGTCTTTTATTCGCATACCAAAAGTTCAGTTGCTCTTTCAGTGTTAGGTTGTAGTAGGTGTGATTGGTCCTATGATTTTTATTCTCAATTAGTCAGCTTAGATTTCAAAAAATGTGACATACATACCTGAAAAATGGTGCAAAAAATCCAACGTGTTCTTGTAAATTTTTACCCACTGGTAGATCCTTAACAACTTTAATCCCATGTTTTTTCAGTTCTTGTAAAGGACCAATGCCAGATAGCATCAAGACTTGTGGTGTATTTATGGCACCAGCAGACAAAATTACTTCTTTGGAAGCCTGAGCAAAATATAGTTTTCCATTTTTCACAAACTCTATACCCACTGCTCTATTATTGGTAATAATAACTTTAGTTACCAATGAATTGTCACTTATAATTAAATTATGTCGATCAGCCGCTGGTCTTATATAAGCATGGGCAGTTCCAGCACGAATATTTCCATCCAAAAAATTTTGTACCCTACTGATACCATAGGGGCTCTGTCCATGATAATCCAGCTCAATTGATCCTTTCTCTTTGAAAGCCTCTAATAACATTGTAGTCTTGCAAGTAAATTAATTATAAATAAAATGTTTGAGCTTAAATATCTTAATTCTTACCAATCCTGGTGTGTCTTCTGGCAAATCTACACATTGAAGGCCACTAAAGCCATGATAATTTCGATCAAAATCGATTTTAAACATTGCTTTTTCAGCTTTTTTAAAATAAGGTAAAATGTTTTCATAAGACCAGTCATTATTGCCAACAATTTCTGCCCAAAGATCATAATCCCACTTGCTGCCTCTAGTGTAGTGGTTTCCATTAAGGCTACTGCTGCCACCCCACATTTTACCTCTTGGATAAATACAACGTTTATCGATTGTTGCTGAAAAGAATTTTTCGAGTACTTAGCTAGTTGGTACCTATATTAATTAGGTAAGTAGGTAATGTGTTTGTTAACAATTGACATTGTATCAAGTAAAATTTGAGAACCAAGAGCTTTTATACTACCTTCTTATTTACATATTAAAATTGTATTTTCATGGATAACGACGGTTGATAATTGCTAATGTTTGAATAATTGAGAAACGGTCAGGTTAATCTTTTATTTTTACTCTCTTCAAAAACCAAACTCTCTCTCCTCATATTCATAATTTGTTTGGACAAAGCTTGAATTTAATTGAATCAGAAAGTATGACAATGCACAATTAAACTGCCCACAGATTCGTTCATCCAATATTAAATTTAAAATCTGCCAAACTTGTAGGAAAATGTGAACCATGCAAAGAGTTTTCTTATTTTGATAGGAATTAATTCGTTCCTTCCTTCTTACTATTTAATAAAAATATTCTTGCAACAAAAACTTAGTAGTAAATTATTCAAGAATATACGGATAACAGAATTACAGGATTTTAATATTCCTTGTATTTGACGTTTTTATTTAAAGATTTCCTTTTTATGTTAAATTGCCAAAGTTTTCAATGAAGCTCTGAAGCACAGCAGATTTATCCAATTTTTAGAAAGCTCGTGATTTCAACCCCCAAAAGATTTTTGCATATATTACCAAGGCAAACATTCTCCTGTACAGTTGTATTGTAACCCCAATCCCACGGTGTTCTAATAAAATATCCTCCAAGAGCTGGCACTGACACAGTGTCTGGATTTCGGGGGCCCGCTTCAACTAATAATACTTTAAAACTTGATTCTGATAATCTATTAGCCACAACACCACCTGCTGTTCCAGCCCCGACAACGATAAAATCAAAAGTTCCATAATCTATAAGAAAGAAAATGTATTATATTTTTGAGAAAAATCGTACCTAATATTCTTATACACTGGTATTGTAAATGTCTAGTATATATGGCTATTTTTGGTTAACAAGTTTGTACTTTTACTTACCAAAAGGCTTCTTATTGGGGTCAAAATTGGTAAAATATTCATTATTATTTTCCAATCTCTGGTAGGTTTCAGATAGCCTTATCAAATCTTCAGTTTCCTTATAAAGTTCAGCAAAATTTGAAATACTTGCATGTGTGGATGAAAAAATTGTTAACACAAAAAAAGTTGCAACAGTGTCCATGGTTAACCTCATTTAAAAAATGAAATTACCAAATAAATATAGATGCTAGTTAGTTTATCACTTTTACAAAAACCGAAAAACCTTTTAAAACTTAGGTAATTAATTTATCGAATACAAGATAAAGAGTTAATAGTTGATATAGTATCTACATAATTAAAATAATATGTTAGGTGTGCAGTAACTAGCAATACAATGTTACCGGGTATCTATAGAGTGTTTGGCGGAGGGTTAGCCAAACTTGGTGGGTGTATAGATAGGTCCATTTCGAAGATATTAATACACTTGTAGCCTTAAATTTCCTTTTTTTTTATCATTGCTTTCGTATTGTTTTCAAGAGTTTTCAAAAATGGACCTTTTACCTTCTGTAACTTTTTTTTTACTTTTGATGAAAATGTTTTTTTCATGTGTTTCTGGTCTGTAGGATATTCTTGATCTTGATGAAAGTTACAAAAGTTAAAAGGTCAATTTTTGAAATTCTTGAGAATAATACAAAAGCAATGATATAAGAAAAAACGGGGACCTCAAGGGCACTAGTGTATTAATAAAATTAATATCTTCGAAATGGTCCTATCTATACACCCACCAAGTTTGGCTAAACCTCCGCCAAACACCTTGTATATTGTCATAATTCAACAACCTCAGAAAGGTTAGAGACGCATATAAATATTTCATATTGTTAAAAATTCGGGTAAGTATGTAGCACTACTGCTTCAGTCATTTTGTCTAGACAATTATTTGCTTGAAATCTCCGTAATGCGCTAGATTATTCCACTGGCGAAAATTTTAGTCATCAGGTAGGTATACAGCTATTGATTAATAAGTACAAAACATAGTTACGACCATCTCTGTTATCTCAAGAGGGCTTCGTATTTTGGGAATTGTGCACATTTATTCAACTTTCTAAGTTTCTATAGACTTTACTGATAAGTGAGGCGATGTTTTCATAATTTCAATGTGCAGTTTTACTAATTGAGCTGTTTGAGTTCTATATTGCTGCGCATTTTCATCATAAATGAAAATATCGTTGAGGAGGGACAAAAATTGTGGCGTGGAAAACTCTTTTGACGGGTATAAAAAAGATGGGTCCAACATTAATTCTAACAGGAAAGCTCTATTTCTGTCACCAGAGGATCTCCATGCTGCATTTTTTTTTCCCGGCATCACTTCATCTCTGTCACCCTCGATGTGAAGGGACTTTAAACAACATTTGAGCTTTTGCTTAAACTTTCCACAACGAAATGTATGCGGTCGCTTAACGTCCCATTTTTAAATTCAAATTTACCGTGGCTAGTAGAAACAATTCACGTTTTTCACTTTGATGGATTCCACGTTTTCCATTGAAATTGATTTTGTTTATTGGAGTTAACCTCAGGAGTTAACATTAAGTCTGCATAAATAAAACTACTTTATTCCGATTGCTATCAAAAATCATCGGATCATAGAAATTTCTTATTAAATACAACCTTATTCTATTTTATTGCCGGCAATCACTTTTCTTCTCGCATTCCGAATAATGAGATTCCAGTGTCTGTCAATTAGTTGATGAGAGTAGGATTGGAATTCGTAATTGGGAGAATATCATTGTGTGTTTAAGTTTTGTACATGTTGCGCAAAAATTGTTTTGAATAAAGAATTTGAATTAATAAACCCCTTATAGGCCTAGGTACAGTAAGACACCTTTAAGGAATGCGGCCAGCGCAACAAAGTGCTCGCGGCTACTCAGTGGTGTGGGAGTAGGTTCAATATTTAAAGTTAGCTCAATAGGGCACCACTGGTTCACAAAATACAATCCGCGAACTTAAACCAGAAAGTCCCTGATCTCCAAAATTCCTATAAAAAAAATACCTACCCGATGTACCTATCCTCTGAAATAACTTTACCTTAGTTTGGTTGAGGTGAGTAGGAGTAAAATAAGAGTCAAATCTAAAAACAATGATTATAAATCTATTTAATAAAATGGGGAGGGGTATGTGTTCAAAACTGCAAAAGAATTTCAAAAGGCCAATAGGAGGCAATATACAAAATACCACCGTATGTATTATTATTAAAAGTAAATCTCAGAATCACAGAGAACTACCAAAATGTAGTAAGGACCAATGTGGCCTTCTAAATCACACTGCAATAAATTTAAGCTTTACCAATTAAAAGTTTGACCACCTTACTCCAATGAGAGTGCAAGAGAACAATTTAGGGATAGAAAGATTAATTAAGATGTTAATAATATTAATTAAAACCTGTGCACGCTCATACCATGGTATACCGGGGCGGGTTTGTACAAAAATGTCACTTTGAATATAGTACATTAAAAATCATTGGTACTGTACACCCATTGTAATAATTAAGGCAGTAAAACAACCTTGGAAATATACCAAGTAAATATAAGAAATACCATTAATAATAATTTAAAATAATAATTAAGGAACATTAATGAATTTACGGGTACATCACCCCTTGTTGGTCCTTTCTGCAGTCAAAACACCCAAACTATATCTGTCTCCTGACAGCCTCACAGCCTGGATAACAGACCCCTTCAAGTTCTATTGACTTCCTTTGTTAAAAATGATAAGTTATGGTTTCAAGTTCAGTAATTTGGGTACTTTGACACCTCAACTTCGAGACTAGCAAACCGTCAAAGAAGAAAAACCCAATGGTAAAGGTCAAATCCAAACTAAAAACCCTGAAAGAGTACAATAAGCCTTAGAACTCCTTCATACTTATAAATTGAAAAATCCCAACCCCAAATAGCACATAAATTATTGGAATTAAAATAGCAAAATCCCCTGAAACCTGTAGGTTATCTTAAACAGAAAACCCCTTAATTAATAAGCCCATTAATGCCCCTTTTGGAAAACGATTAATGAGTTTTTTTTTACTGACAAATGGCCTCGTGGAGGTCAAATTCCCTTTTTTATTGAATCTCAAATATTTACAAAATACAGATAAGCTAATCTAAATATTGATAACGAAAAGGTAAATTTGAGAATGATAAAAACGTTTAAAATTACCTGGTTACAATTTGGGCTAGTTGAACGAAACGTGCTCGATCCTCACACGACAAATCAACAGAATGGCGTAGACTTCGTTTCCAGAAAATTCTGTGTGGTTGGCTTACGAATACGGGGACGAACAAATCCAAAGCTTCCACCCCAAAACCAATTTAAGCCGGCAACCACTTAAAATCCCAACGCCTCGAAAATCCCACAAAAAGGTGGATGTTCCTAGGAACTTAGCCAAGAGGACCGCTAGTAAAATCTGCCAAAGAAACTTGTTGCTTGCATAACGTGCGAATTTAAAAGAGAACGATTCCTTTTCAGCGATTTATTAGGTGAGCATCAATATGAAAATTTTTCTAGAATTCCAGTTTTTTTTCCAAGATGCCCTCTGGTGCCAGATTTTCGGTCTTGACCAGGAAAACGGAACAAACAGCTTGAAACGGAACAATCATCTTGAAACGGAACAACCCAGATCACATTGATAATGACCAACAAAACTCAAAATTGTTATCAAATTTTCTCCCCCAATACCAATTAACACTAATTACCTAATTAATATTATTGATTAACATCTACTCAGTCTTCAGTCTAAAAACTATCAAAATGACCAGTGACTCTTTAGGGATCACAACTACAGTGACTCTATTGGGATCACAACTACAGTGACTCTATTACCCGTAGCGGTCAAGGAACCTGGACAACAATGCTGCCTGAAACGAATCAACAAATGTCTCATAACCACATATATTCGGCGAATAATTAACCGGGAAAAATGTGAAAAATAGAGGAAATAAGGGTGGAAAATCGATTTAAAGTGTGCTAAAGTGATTTGTGCTGTTGCAGAATTTTTGATAATGGAAATTACGTGACTCGTAAGTGTTGACAATTGATATTTATGTGGAAGTAAACAAACCTTTCCATCGACATTTAGGGCCTTTTAGAAGACTTTCGAAAGCTAATTAAAGTGGATTCCTATCCTAACAGTAGGGCTTTATTATCCTAAAACTACCCTGCCCTCTGAATACAAAGAATTTACTCATTATTACCTTGAAAAATATACCCTTGTTCATACGATTATACGATTACGATTACGATATACAACAGTAGCCCGATCGATGAAACTGTTGATTATTTGATGGTTACATTTCACAATAGTTTTCATTCTATATTTCCACTAATAACTCATTACTGCCCGAAATGCGAAACAATGTTTTCTAGTGTGTCACGTTGGGTGTCAAGTCTATTTTTAAAAGAATTGATACTTGGAGCACAAACAGTATCCTCAGATAGCGCATTCCAATGATAAACGATTCTATTACTTAAAAAGATTTTTCTGGGAAGTCTGGCATTTCTTTCCTTCTCCAATTTCTTACTATGACCTCTTAGCTGTGTATTTGTATTTGCATGAAATATATTAGGGTTTGTTTGGTAATATGGCAGCAATATCTTATATGTCTCTATAAGGTCTCCTCTCAAACGTCTTTCCCTTAGTGTTGTTAGATTTAGTCTCCTCAGTCTTTCAGGGTATTCCAAATTTGTCAATTCTACTGGGATTTTCAACAATTAGATATTGTTTCCCATCCAAACCAAAAGGTAGAAATCATAGACAATAAAAAATAAAAAGACCTTCAAAAGTATAGCCGAAATAGGTTATACTATTACTGCGCATCCGGTTGCGCATAGCGCATTGCGGAATTTTTGGAAAGTTAGAGACTTACGAAAGATCAGTCCGATCATCCGATTCTGTTTCATCTTTCTCTGTCATACCAATTCACAAGACAAGGACACCGTATGAGTTACAGAGCTTTCCTAGCTGTTTTGTAGAAACCTATCAAACATTCATAACTATAGAAACTGTGACCGAGAAAACAAATAAGTAACCCGGGAAGTAACCTTAAAATAACGACATTTCCGTGTTGAAATTTGTCATTTTTAACCGATTGGGCGGTTGTCTAGAAGACTCGAACTCACAAAATCTAAAGAACAAGAAGAAGAAATTGTCATTTTTATTAAGGCACTCGGTATCGCGTACCTATAATATTATGTACAA